ATAAAGCAAATATGAATGGACATAAAGAGAGAATTGATGGCGATACAATAATATCAGGAGACTTTAACACTCCACTCACATCAAAGGATAAATCATCCAGACAGAAAATCAATAAGGAAACAATGTCTTTGAATGATTATGTGACATATTATGCCACATGGACATAACAGGTATACACATACAGAATATTCCATCCAAAAACATGCCTTACATGTAAGGCATTAAACAAGACTTGATCAATTTAAGAGGACTGAAATCATACCATACATCTCTTCTAACCACAATGGTATGAGACTAGAAATCAATCACAAGAAAAAAGCTGGGAAAACCACAAACACATGGAGATTAAACAATATGACACCAAACAACAAATGAGTCAACAAAGAAATCAAAGAAGAAATAAAAGAAATACATGGAGACAAATGATAATGAAAACACAGTCGTCCAAAATCTTTGGGGGATAGTAAAAGCAGTTCTAAGAGGGAAGTATGTAGAGATACAGGCCTACCTCAAGAAACAAGAAAAAACTCAAAGAATGTAACCTTACACCTAAAGGAACTAGAAAAATAAGTACAAAACCCAAAGTAAGTAGAAGAAAGGAAATAATAAAAATCAGAGTAGAAATAAATGACACAAAGACTAAAACGACAATAGAGAAAATCGATAAAATTAAGAGCTGGTTCTTCAAGAATGTAAACAAAATTGACAAACCCTGAGACCTATCAAAAAGAGAAAGTACCCAAATAAATAAAATTAAAAATGAGAGGGACATCATGACTCACATCACGGAAGTACAAAGGATTATAAGAGAGCACTATGAAAAATTACATGTTAACAAACTGGACAACCTATTAGAAATGGATAAATTCCTAGAAACATACAATCTTCCAAAACTGAACCAAGAATAGAAAATCTAAACAGATCAATTATAAGTAACAAAATTGAATTGGTAATCAGAAAACTACCAAAAAGTAAAAGTCCAGGACAGGATGGATTCAGAGGGAAATTTACCAGATATTTAATGAAGAATTAAAACTTACTCTCCTCAAACTATTCCAAAAAAATAGAAGAGGAAGTAATGCTTCCAAATATATTCTATGAGGCCATCATTATCCTGACACCAAAGCCAGAGAAAGACACCACAAACAAAAACAAGAACAAAAACAAAAACTGTAGGCTAATATGCCTTATGAACATAACAGCGAGAATCCTCAACAAAATATTAGCAAAATGCCTACAACAATACCTTAAAAAGATCACTCACCATGATCTGGTGGAAGTTATTCCAGGGAGGCAAGGATGGCTCATACTCAGAAATCAATTAACACCATACACCATATCAACAAAATGAAGAATAGAAATCATCTGACCATCTCAACAGATGCAGAAAAAGCATTTGCAAGATTCAACATCCATTCATGATAAAAACTCTCAACAGAGTGGGTTTGGAAGGAATATACCTTAGCATAGTAAAGGCCATATATGAAAAACCCATAGCTTGCTTACATCATACTTAATGGTGAAAAACTGAGAGCTTTCCCTCCATGGTCAGGAACAAGATGAGGATGTCTACTCTCACCTCTTTTACTTAACATAATACTGGAAGTCCTAGCCACAGCAATCAGACAAGTAAAAGAAATAAGAGGCATCCACGTTGTTAAGAAGAAGTTAAACTGTCACTATTTGCAGATGACATGATACGATACATAGAAAATTCTAAAGACTCTGCAGAAAAACTACTAGAAGTAATCAACAAATTCAGTAAAGTGGCAGGATACGAAATTAATACAGAAATGGATGGAGCTTCTACACCCAAATAACAAAGTAGCAGAAAGGGAAATTTTTTTAAAAAATCTAAAATTGCATCAAAAAGAATAAAATACCTAGGAATAAACTTAACCAAAGATGTGAAAGACCCGTACTCTGAAAACTATAAAACCCTGATGAAAGAAATTGAAGATGACACCAACAAATGGAAAGACATTACATGCTCCTGGATTGGAAGAATTAACATGGTTAAAATGTCCACATTACCCAAAGCAATCTACAAATTCAATGCAAGCCCTATCAAAATATCAACAGCATTTTTCTTTCTTTTTTTTTAAGATTTTATTTATTGGGGCGCCTGGGTGGCTCAGTGGGTTAAAGCCTCTGCCTTCAACTCAGATCATGATCTCAGGGTCCTGGGATTGAGCCTCACATTGGGCTCTCTCCTCAGCAGGGAGCCTGCTTCCTTCTCTCTCTCTGCCTGCCTCTCTGCCTGCTTGTGATCCCTATCTGTTAAAGGAATAAGTAAAATCTTTTAAAAATATATTTTATTTATTTATTTGAGAGAGAAGGAGGGAGGGAGGGAGAGAAAACATGAGCAGGGGAGGGGCAGAGGGAGAAGCAGACTCCTCACTAAACAGGGAGCCTGACACTGGGCTCTATCCCAGGCCCCTGGAATGATCACCTGAGCCGAAGGCAGACATTTAACTAACTGAGCCACAACAGATGCATCCCCCCTCCCAAATGTCAGCTTTCACAAAACTAAAATAAATATTACTAAAATTTGTGTGGAACCACAAAAGACTCCAAAGACCCAAAACAATCCTGAGAAAGAACAGAGTTGGAGGTACCACAATACCAGATTTCAAGATCTACTATAAATCTATAGTAATCCAAAGAGTGTGGTACTGTCACAAAAATAGACACATAGACCAATGGAAGAGAAATGAGACCTCAGAAATAAATCCACAATTATATGGTCAATTAATCCATAACAAAGGAGGCAAGAATATTATACAATGGGGAAAAGACAGTTTCTTCAACAAATGGTGCTGGGAAAACTGGACGGCTACTTACAAAAAAGTGAAGCTGGACCACCTACTATATACAAAAATGAACTGAAAATGGATTAAAGACCTAAAGGTGAGAACTGAAACCATAAAAACCCTAGAATAGAGCAAAGGCAGTAGTTTCTCTGACATCAGCCACAGCAACATTTCCTTGATATGTCTCCTAATGCAAGGGAGACAAAAGCAAAAATAAACTCTTGGAACTACATCAAAATTAAGCGTTTTTGACATAGCAAAGGAAACCATCAACAAAACAGAAAGATGACCTACTGAATGAGAGAAGACATTTGCAAATGCTATATCTAACAATGGGTTCATATCCAAAATATATAAAGAACTTACACAACTCAATACTGAAACATTACACAATCCAACTAAAAAATGGTCAGAAGACCTGAAAGGCATTTTCCCAAAGAAGACACACAGATGGCTGACAGATACATGAAAAATGCTCAACACCACTAGTCAGGGAAATGCAAATCAACACCACAATGGAAAATCACCTAATACCGGTTAGAATGGCTAAAATCAAAATGACAAGAAATAACAAGTGTTGGTAAGGATGTAGAAACAAAGGAACCCTTGTGCACCGCCGGTGGGAATGTAAACTGGTACAATCACTGTGGAAAACAGTATGGCATTTCCTCAAAAAATTAAAAGTAAGATAGTATGTGATCTAATAATTCCACTACTGAATATTTACCCAAAGAAAATGAAAACACTAAATCAAAAAGACAAATGCATCCCCGTTCACTGCAGCATTATTTATAATAGCCAAGATATGGAAGCAACCTGAGTGTCCATCATTAGATGAATGGATAAGGAAGATGTGTACACACACACACACACACACACACACACACACAAAGAAGAATATCACATAGCCACAAAAAAGGATGAGATCGTGCCACCCAAGACAACATGGATGGACCTAGAAGGTATTATGTGAAGTGAAATCATCAGACTTAGACAAATACCATATGATTTCACTCATAAGTGGAAACTTAAAAAAATGAACAAATGAGAAGTAGAATCGGGACTATAAACACAGAGAACAATTGATGATTGTCAGAGAGGAAGGAGGTGGGAGGTTGGGCCAAACAGGTGATAGGGAGAGGGAGACACAGCCTCCAGGTACGGAATGCGTAAGTCACGTGAATAAAAAGCAGAGCATAAGGAATACGGTCAGTGACTCTGTCATGCAAGTTAATGGGACACGTGGCAGCCACACTTGTAAGCATAGCAGAATGTGTGCATTTGTCAAATCAGAGTTGTACATCCGAAACTAACGAATATTGTGTGTCAACGACACTAAAAAAAAGTTTTGGGGGTCCCTGGGTGGCTCAGTCGGCTGAGTGGTCAACTCCTGACTTCGGCTCAGGTCATGATCTCAGGGTCGTGAGATCGAGCCCCACATGGGGCTCTGCACTGGGCGTGGAGCCTTCTTGGGATTCTCTCTCTCCCTCTCTCTCTGCCCCTCACACCCAGTGCTCAATCTCTCTCTCTAGGAAAAAAAAAAAAAGTTTTTGATTTTGAGACAAAAGTCAATTGAATATGTCATGTTTACAAAATGCCTTGAAAGTAATACCTTGATTGGCATTTGATTCAATACTAGGGATTCAATACTACGGATAGTCAAGGTGACACACAAACACCGTAACATTTATATTTTGTGTTTCCTCATTCTAGGTTTTTCACTAAATTTTTCTTTTCATTTTCAATAGAAAAACAAGTTATTTAAAAAACATTTTTTTGTGTCTTGTACCTGTATGATTTTATTGTATTTAATGTTTTATTTGTTTGTTTGTTTGTTTGTTTTCAAACAAGGTAAATAAAACAAAATGTTCACCTGCAAGAAAAAAGCCAATTCCTGGGACTTGCCCTAGATTTACGCTCAGATTCCTGGGAGTGCTTTCACATTCTCTCCAACTGTAAGTTTCAGGGTCATGTTTCGAAACGACATGCTTTGACTGAATCAGCCCAGATTTCCACATTAAGTTTTCTTTTCCTCCTCTTGAACTCAGTCAGTTTCACTTTCCATTTCCCCTCCCTGTCACTGAGGTAATCGCTCGGAAGCTGGGAGAAAACATCAGCTGAGGTCCCTCCCACCCCCACCACCCCTCATCACCCCCAAAGCCCTTATATAGCTCCTTCAGCATTGAGTTCAGGCAGACTCTGAAATTTTCGGAAGAACGAATCAGCTGGGAGCTTTGCTTTTCAGAATGGAAGAGGAGCAGGTTGCAGACAAGAGGTCAGTAACAGGAAGGCGTCAGCACCCTTGATCTTGCATCCAGCTTGTAAACCAAGCTTCTCGGTGCGGGCAGGGTTCTGTGTGGTCGGGCTGCTCGCAGATGAAACATGCACTTTCTCTTTCTGTGTTTTTTTCTGGTGGACATACTCAGGCTCTCAGAACTTCTCAAAATGCTCCCCTAGCTAGCTGGGAGCGCAGACCAGCAGAAAGGTTTGGCAGGACTGTTAGACCCACTGCAGCACAGTTTGCAGAGTCCAAGTGCGACCTCGGGGGAATTACTCATTATGGGCTTTTGATGATTGTTCACTTTGGAAGGACTAAGAGGTTCAAACCTTCTTGCCGTTTAAAAGGAAGCATTTCTTTTCAGCAGATATTAGTATAGCTGGAATTGGTAGTGCAAACTCAACTCCTTTTGTCCTGAAACATATGATCAGTCTAAGGTGGGAAGTAGAAGAAACAATTCTTACAGATGGGCATTTTTCCAGAAATCTTATATAAAAACAAAACAAGAAGCTTGGGGCTTGTTTTCATTTCTGTGGTGAGAGCTGGGGAGCAGCAAGCAATCTCCCTTCCAAATATAATGACCTAATCTCTTTTTTAATACTGATGTCATCTCTGGTGATGGAAAGCAGGTCAGTGGCTGCCCGGGGTGGTGGAGGCCAGTGGCCCTGGTCAGGAGGGCACACTGGGGAATCTTTGGGGATGGGATTGAGTCTCTAAGGAGAAAGTGGTGGTGACTGCTTGGGTGTATACATTGGTCCAAATTCATCAAACTATACACTTCAAATTTAATTGTAGGTAAAGTATAATCTTAGCAAAGTTTTTTTTTTTAAGATTTTATTTATTTATTTGTCAGAGAGAGAGAGAGAGAGAGAGTGAGCACAGGCAGACAGAGTGGCAGAGTGGCGGAGCAAGGAGCCTGATGCGGGACTTGATCCTAGGACGCTGGGATCATGACCTGAGCCGAAGGCAGCCACTTAACCAACTGAGCCACCCAAGTGTCCCACTTTTTTTTTTTTTAAATGCATGTAGACATGCTTAAATTCTGTCATCAGATAGAGCTGAGAGAAGAAGCTGTTCCCATCAAATACCCATAGGGAGGAAGGATCCCCGTGACCACTCAGGGAGTGAGGAAAGAAAGAGCAACACCCCACCCCCAAAAGGCTCTGCACGCTGGTATTTGGGGATGGGCTGCATAAAGGAAAGTCACTGCCGAGTGCCTTTGGTTATGCTTTTCTGTCTCCATGACTGGGGCTGATCAGAAAACATGACCCTGCCCAGTGCCTTGTTATCCAGTTTGCCCAAGAGGCTTTACAGAGGCCTGTGCTTGGGTGTGTCCGGAGCCCCTGACCTGAGGAAGTCTGGAGGGCCGGGGGCTCTATGGACTCTCCTGGACTGATGCCTACATCAGGCTACCCTGTTCCCAGAGGCTGTATGGACAGGGCCAGGTGGGGCTGCTCCTCGCCAGCAGGGCTTAAAATTGCCAAAGGGGAGAAGCAGCTGGGAGGGGGGCGGATCCCCTCGTTTCTGGGGGCTGGCTGATGGGCGCCCTCCTCTGCCCCACGAAAAATTCACTTAGAACTAGGACACTCATATGCCGGCGATCATGGCGGTCAGCAGTCGGTAGCGCTACTCTGTTAAGTCCTTTTCATGTTCATATCATGTTCCCAGTAGCCCGAGGAAGGAAGAACTGTGATTTTTTTATTAGCCCCATTTTCGAGATGAGCAAAATGAGGCTCAGAGGGTGAATTACTTGCCCAAGAGAGTAGGCGTCAGAGCTGGGTCATTAGTGCTGAGCGTCTCCTACTGTGTATAAAGGCCAGAAGGGTGGAATGTCTTCAGGCTATTAATTATGCTCCTGTTGGAGAGAAGGGGCAGGGACCAGAAGGACTTGGCTCTCAAAGCCACACGGAGCCACACCTTAGGAGAAGGAAAGGTGGACCTCCCCAGGGCATGGTTTCCTATAATTTGGATGGAAGGAAAAAGGAAATTCATTCAGGAATAATTTGAATGTAAGGAAATGAGGCTTAGTAACATGATTTTAATAAATATTCCAGAGCAGGTCAAAGAGAGAACAGAAGTCTGGGTGTCTTGTGGTCGTTTTCCTCTAGTCTAGATTGCCTGACTTGTCGGTTGATACATTCTCTCTGACAAGTACATGGGAAACTGCTTTCCAAAATCCCTCCGGAGCAGTGGCTTCTCAAAATGGGGTACAGGGAGGGGCTCCTGCAGGTACAGAATTCCCAGGACGCTTGTACAGATGCAGATCCCTGAGTCCAAGCCCACCCCCAGATTGCAACAGATGCTCTGGGACTAGGGCCTGCTTCTATTATGCCCTTTTCCAAACCCCCAAACAGTTTGTGTGGAACCCTGCTCCCAACAGAGGGTGACCTCTGCTCTGACACATTCAATTTCAGCTTCTCCTTGGAGGGGACCTCCTCGATAGTGTGACATCAGGCTCATTGTCCTTTCCCATTTGACAAAAGCACAGACCTCAAGGCTAGCTACCCCGGGGGTGGGGGTGGGGGGGGTAGAGGGGGTAGCCTCTTCAGCATTTACTTCTGATCCACCATCCACGGGCAGAAAATAAAATCAGCCCAGACCCCAGCTTTTCAGAACTGAGAGAAATAGCCATCATGAGGTAAATCTGGCCAACTTTTCTGAGAGGAAGTTGAGATTTTCCACAAATCTTGTTCCTGAGAGCAGCTTCCTGAATGATGCCGATTCGGTGTTTGCTTATGGATTAAATTCACATTGATCCCATTCTGTCATAAATCTATCTTAACAGTTCGAGCATTCTTATGTCTGTGGCCGGTTCTGATTTAAAGACACTGAGGGAAGTGCTCCCAGGGGAGCTGGACCGGGCAGGTGGGAAGGGGCAGGAGTTGTTGCGAGAGCCCTGAGGGAGATCCTTTGGGCAAAATCCTGTCAAAAGGGCTGGGGCCTCCCAGCCTCGTTACAGGAGGTCCTGGCCCCTGTTTTGTTTCTTTTTTTTCTTGTTTCTTGTTTCTTGAAAAGACTGAGTCCATGAGTTTTGTTGTGGTGGTTGTGGTTATTTCAAAAGTGTGCTTCCTTCTGTGCAAAGGTGCTGAGGGCCAAGTCAGCATGACACAGCTCTGGCTCATAACAAGGTTGCCCTTCCCTGGAAATCTACTCTTTCAGAACTGAGTAAATATGTCAAAGGGGAAGAAGAAATGCCGGCCCAAAATGGGCCCCTGTGGACTGGAGGTTACTTCGAGCCAAAGACAATCGAGACCCAGCAAGCTCCAGAAAGACTTTGGCCTCTCCCTTAACAGCCTGACAGATAGGCGGGCCTGCCCTCCAGAGGAGCTGTGACCAGAGATAACTTTTTATCTGAAAGACTGGCCGGCACAGCAGGGCAAAGGTTGGTCACCAACCCCGTGTGCTCATCTTCCTGGGAATTCCTCCCCACCGCTTTGAAATCCCAGGCCCCCATCCACTCCTCAGCTGAAGGTGGCTGCGGGCCCCAGCGGCCTGCCTTTAGGTCTTATACTTTTATGGGGCTCCTGCACATATGAAATTGAAGTTTTTCCCCCTGCTCATCTATCTTATGTCAGTTTAATTACTAGACTAGCCGAAGAACCTAGAACAGGAGGAAAACAGTTCTGAGTCTACCTGAGGCACCCTCTTCTCGACCTGCCATCATCCCCAGGCCTCCCCTGGGAAGAGGAGCAGGGAGAAAGTGTGCAGTATCTCCAACTGCAGCAGAGAGCGGGTATCCCAGCCGAGCTGAGGGCTCTGTTAGAGTGCACACTAGCTGGCCCTGCATGCTGAAATCCAGACTGAGGAAATCAGAAACAAGGCCCAGGAAAAAAATAATAATAATAATAATAAGTATTTAAAGAGGACCATGGGTATTTCACCTACACAAGAAATGCTCCTTGCACCATACGTATGTGCAAGTGCAAGACACCCAGAGTGGGTGGGGAGTGGGTGGCCCAGGAAGGACGTTGATACAAAGCATGGCTTGCCCACTGAAGGGGTGTTTGAGGATAAGAACCTGGTGATTGGAAATCTCTGCCAAAAAGGGAAATCTTCCTGGAGCCTCACTACTCCTGCTCACAGTGTGGTCTGAGTCCGACATCCCTGGAGGTTGTTAAAAAGGCAGCACCCCACCCCTGCCGAATTCAGATCTGCATTTGCACAAGGTCCTCGGGTGATTTGGTCCCTGTGCACATCAGAGGGGGAGCAGAATGGCTCTGGAGAGTTCCTTGGCTCACTTTCTAAAGTGATGGGCTCCCCGAGTGGTGCCTGTTTTGACCAACTAATTGGGCATGAGATCTGCCTGTCCCTGCCTGCGGTCAGCGGGACCATAACCAGAGCATCCCAAGTGACAAGCTGCCTCAGAAATTCCCTGGAAACTCCTGCTCTTATCATTATGAGGTTAAGAGTCTCTTTCTGAACATTTCAAGGTTCTACTCTAGTGATGGCTTTGACTAGGCCTTGAAAAGAGAAGTGGCGTCTACACTGGGGTCTGTGGGTCCCACCAAAGATGGTCACCATGCAGGAAGGTGAGAAAGAGAAGCAAAGGGTGTCGGTGGGTTAAATCTGGGTATTTCCTAAGGACTAGTACTGCCAGTTTCACCTGCTTTCCTCCGCAAAACCTCACGGCTGTAGCTGGAGGCTGTGAGGAGTCTCTTCCTGGGCCACAGGGACTGCCTCCTCCCCGTGGTTTCTAGTAGATGAAGGGAGGGAGGGAGGGAGGGAGAGAGGAAGGGCATTCAACTACCCTTGTTTCACGTGAACTTAGACGTTCTCTTTATCAAGTTTCTGCAGCAGTCATCCTACCCAATTGCTTTGTTTTCCCCTTTAAATATCCGATTTAATTATTGCTCAGTAATTTCATAAATTGCACACATAAACATATAAGGAACATTTAGAGCAACTTTCAAAAACACGTATGAGCTAAGTTGCTAAGTGAGAAAGGCTGAAAAATGGGTATTGGTTTTTGTTTTGTTTTGTTTTGTTTTGTTTTGAAG